ACAGTCACATACAGAGATTCGAAGTCTTCCCTTGCTCGATGGTGATGGGTTTATGTCGGGCCAATTTTGGGTTTATATCGGGCCAACATCGGGTTGGGGTTTGGTAGAAGTCAGGTTGGTGTCGGGTTGGCTTAGCTTTTTCGCCGGAATGTCGACCCGCGCTCCATTTATGTGTAGGTTACACTCAATTGAATTTTGTTTTTCTTTGATTTGTTTTCCGTGCTGAGCACCAATGCTACCGACACCAGGGAGGCAGCTCCCACACCGGAGACCAACGGCTTTACTTCCCTTAAGGCGTGATCAGAGATGTTATGCCTCAGAACATCCCGGCGGCGCCGATTGGGATTGAACCCAGGTCTGCTGGGGTGAGAGATAATCACGCCTACCATTACACCACCGGCGCCGCTGCGACCAGTTTTTGCTGTGTACATTCTTTAGACTGGTCTTATTAAAATAAAAGGCCTGTTTTTCAACTCAGTGGGTATTCTACATTCAAGCTTTGAAACCTGTAGTCTGTGCCTATCAGGAATGTTTGATAATTCCTATACATTCATTCCTTTTTGTGGGCAGTAATCGAAAAACTGTTGTTGGTTGATAAATTGCTTTTGTGAGCTCGATAGGTCCAATCAAGTTCATTTTGACCTGTCTTACAGAGAAGCGTATACATACCGCTTGGAAAACCGACATTCGAACTGAGTAGAGCTGGGAGCACGCTTTTGAATATTTTTGGAATCGGTCAACTGATTCTAGAGATATGGCCGGAACATGTTCCAGTTTGTATGGGCCATGAGACTAAAGTTAGACCTACAATACTGCGTCACCGTCAGCGTCAGCGTCAAATTTGAATCTGATCAAAATCAACGAACTGACGCAGCGTCGATGTGAAGTCGCCAAGTAGAGATGTCGGTGGAAAAGCAACTTGACATGCGTTACACCTGTCATTTGACGGACGAACCTCTTCGTCAATGCTGACGGTGACGCAGTATTGTGGGTCCCGCTTAAATTCATCCTGAAATAAATAAACATCATGCGATACCTTAAATCACATGAGAATTCGTGTATCATCTCACAGCAGTTTTGTCGGAATTTATATTAGTCAGAATTACATTAGAAGGGTCAGATCTCACCACAGTTGGGTTAATAAATAAAAATGTGGGCGTTACACCACACAGGTAAAAATCTCACCACAGTTGGGTTGGGTAAACACTTTCATTTAGCTGTACAAAGCCAATGAAGTTAGCGGCGCCGGTGGTGTAGTGGTAAGCGTGATTACCTCTCACCCCAGCAGGTTCAATCCCAGTCGACGCCACCGGGATGTTCTGAGGCATAACATCTCTGATCACGCCTTCCTTCGTAAGGTAAGTAAAGCCGTTGGTCCCCGGTTCATGAGTTGATAGGTCGATAGGTAGGATCTAGGTGTGGGAGCTGCCTCCCTGGCGTCGGTAGCATTGGTGATCAGCCCGGAAAACAAGCTGCTGCATTATTTTTCCACCCCCAATTTTTGGTGTATACATTCTCTATTCTATATAATATTTTAAGGGAAAAGGGTTGAATATTTATGTCTTTTTGTGATTTTAGATTGTATACTTCAAAAACAGACTAAATTTTGAAGTCTCATGTCTGACCAACTGCACAATATTTTAATAGCAACAATAATGAAACAATTTCTTTGCATAATCGGTGATTTCAAATCACACAATTAATCATGTTTTGTTGTTTTTGACATCATCCACATCCAGAGGGCCAGTCACTTCGAATGTATGGGAATGGTAGGAAACCATTTGGAAATGCATGAAAATTTTCAGTTTTTATTCATTGTCGTCTTTATGGGCAGTTTTAGGTGCACAAAAATTGCACGAGTACATTACTATGGTGATAAGGTAAACACTCGTTTATTTGTTTCCTTCTGTGAAAGCATGTTTAGTCACAAATCGTGGATTTTCTGATATTCTCCATACTGCAAAAATGATTTTCCTACCACTGAAGGGGCGACATCTCTCGGATCTTCAGTATAGCTACTACTCAAATCATATAATTAATTATCAAAAAAAATTTGTTGCTCGAGATTATGCATTAGTATAATTGTGGGGCAAGTTCAACCATACTCTATGTGCCCAGGGAAGTGAGGAATTTTCCAACCCGAAAAATTCCTAGACCGGACCGGGAATCGAACAAAGCCACCGCCAGCATAGTCTTGCATTGCAGCTGCGCCTTTACGGACTGAGCTAAGGGAAGCATGTGTCATTTGGTATTTTCGTGGAAAATCTTTTTGTATTTTTAATTTTTTGAAATTTGGGAAATTCTTCTTAGAACCTGAGTTAGGCTATGATTTTCGAACCCAGCAAAAAAAGGTTTTCGATCACCCGGCTACACGTACCAACGAGCCAGAGTGCTTCCTTGGTTGGATCTGGCAACATGAGGATAAGTTAGCAACACGCCCTGTCTATCCGTGGAATCCGGCTCTCGGCTGCATTCACCAACTGAACCTACAGCAGTAGCGATCACGCAATCGCACCCGTCGCAGCGCAGTCCGATTTCCCTCAACAGCAGAGATTCGAAAGCCGGTTGGACCTCACACACTTATTTTACTTAAAAGTATCCTGAGAACCTCCAATGGTGCAGGTCAAATTCCAATGGACTTTTTTGATTTCCTTGTTGAGGCTCCACCGCCATGAGTCCTCTCGAGTTCCCATCCAGGCCGTGTGTGGCTGACAAACATCCGGGATTCGGGAGCGTTGATCGATCTGGGTTCATCTCCAATTTTTTAGAAAACTCGGCCTTCTTGATCGGCGTACTTATGTCGCTCTTGGTAGTGCCGTCTGACGCTATCTGACTTCTAAGGTATATTAGAAACCTTCGACTTTCTGTACTGCCTACCATAGTGCTACCATAAAGTTGAAAGGGTTGCCCGTGCTGACATCCAACGATTTGGTCTCTAAATATCAGAACACTTTTGTTCTAATACAGCAACATCATCAGCCAAATCGAACTCGTCGAAATGTTCCATTGTGATAGGCTGCCCTCGGTTCGGTACACGGTAAATTGCACCTAAATAATCTCGTGGTTACGATGAGGAACAGTAGTGGAGATAGCATACCCGGATAGGACCGGACAATGCTCCGTTATGCAAAAATCTGTTCGTGAAAGCCTCGTACTCCGCTACGAAAAGGTTAACGATTTTATCTGGATTTTAGATGGATGGACTTCATGAAGATCGTGCCACTCGTTTCTATACCAGCTCTTCTTACGCTATGTTAATCCGACGTCAGTTTATCCGGAATTCCGTACTCGTGCATAATCTGCCCTAGCTGATCTCGATCGATTTGCGATCGTATGCGGATTTGAAATCGATAAACAAATTACGTGTGGGCACGTTGTATTCGCGGCATTTCTGCAGAACCTACCGAATCGCGAAAATGTGGTCCGTGGTAGCGCTCCATGAACTCTCTTGCTAATGGTGACAGACGGCGGCATAGAATTTGGGAAAGTGCCTTGTATGCGGCGCTCAGCAGTGTGATCGTGCGGTAGCTGGTTTTGCCAGAACTGGTGAAAACAAGCTTCCGAAGACTTAAATGCACAATGAAGCAATTTCTTTGACATTTTTGTATAATTTTATTCATAAATGTAGGGGTGACACTCTTGCCCCGTGTGAGATTCATGTTTAAGGTGATTTTTAGCCAATTAAAAAAATATTTACCTATTATTTGTTACTAATGTTTCAATTAATTATTAATAGTGATGCCTAAATGCAGGCATTGTAGGAACACATATTTGGAAGTTCGAAAATCCTTGTTTTATGATGTCTAATTATTATAAATAATTTCGATCTTCGACACAGCAGCATAAAATGATTTTTTGCAATTTCTGAAGACTTCATGTTGGACAGAACTTTCTATAATCCTGCATAGGAACACCATTCATAGTTTCACGGGTGAGCTTGTGTTTATTTTCAAAATGATTAGAGGTGGTACTTTTGCCCCACCCGACCCTAATACGAATGCTCAGAAAGGTGCAGTAGGGACGTAAGTAAGCCAAAGAAGAAGAGGTTATGGTGAGGGGACTCTCTGTCACCAGTGAAATGACAAAAGTCACCAAACGGAATCTCGCGTCGCACGAGGTGACTTTTATCACTACACTATACTGGTGACAAAGAGTCACCTCACCTCACTTGCCGCACAGACTAGACCTGCTTGTGAAGTTAATAACATAGGATAATACGCACAACATCACAGCCTTTCAGTAAATTTTTATTGAGTTTTTGATCAGCTGAAAAGTAATAAAATTTTAAATAATCTATAAATGCATAAAAATAGTATTTTTTAGCAAAACAAAAAAAAATATGATAAAAAATAAAATTCGTTAATATTATTCGATTCATTATATGTTACAATTATTTCCGGTTTACTGACTTTTTCAGCTATTTGAAAATCTAGTAAAAATTTACTGAATCAAGTTAAATAATCTTTGTGTGTTATGTACAGTGTGCTAAGAACGACAAGCGAAAATTCAGCAGAGGGCTCGAACTAGGTCGTCGACTCCAGGGGACATTTCGCACATGTGACTTTTTTGCAGTTCAGGAGGACATTTATGACGCTTAACGTTAATGGCGGATAGAGACGATTGGCTCAGTGGAGAAGGATTTATTCTTTGCTCGGCATTGATTCAACGAAATTGATTTTAGCTTAAAAATGAAAAGTAATTTAGAAATGTCTCCTAGTCCTTAAAAAAAACTACGCAGATACATAAACAGCATGACATGAAAATAAATAACTAAACAAAATATTCGACGACCAAAACGGAGAAATTTTCTTTCTTTTGTCTTTCACTAGATATCTAGGCAATGTTCCATGTGACTACAACAAGAAATTAATGAAGTAAAACGACAAAAAAAAAACATTCCAACAAATAGAACATATATTGACAGTATCAATTGACAGCTAATCATTAACGTCAGTATAGTAGTACAGGAAAGTAAAAACAAAAACAAAAACAAAAACAAGTTTAATTTTGATAATCTTATATTTTCGCTAGTTTGTTTTGATTGCGGTATTTCCTGCTCTCCAGCGTTAACATAGGGAAACAATAGATTGTATGTAGTAGTAATAAGTTAAAAAAATAATAATAATTATAATATCTGATAATGAATAGACGAGAAGAAAAATAAGAACATTTCATACTTTCCACCTACTGTTGCAGTTGAATGCGTGGCGTTTAAAAAATTAGATATAGTAATAATAATCTGCTAAAAAGAGAAAACATCATTTAAACAACAGAGCAAATAAATCTCATATGAATCGTTTGCCTTTTCGTACTCTTGAGATACTATCAGTTATACTTTACAAAATCCACTGTTGCAACGAATTAGGTGTTTGGAGCAAAAAGGAGCGCGAAAATCATAGACAATAAAACGTGTGAATCGAAACTGTACATTATTCGCATTACATAACACTACTAATAAACAATTTACCACTTACTATCAGTGATTACTATTTAACCAAGCCAATATTTTTTTGTAACAAAATAGTCCGTTAGTGTTGAGCGACGAAAGAAAGACGAAATTTGATTAAAAAAAAAACTTAAGGACACCATAATTTGTCCGCGATTTTTTTTTCCGTATGTAGTGTTACCGGTTGTTCTTCGTATTGAAAAGATGTAACTTCGCTTTTGTGTTGATTTCTTTTTTGTTTTAAAAGATTTTTTGTTTTGTTTTTAATATACTCATTATGACAAGATTGCGATCTGCTATGGGTTCTTTTTGTTTGATCTCACAATAATATATATCAAATGTTAACTGTTTCCTTTTCCATCTCTGTAATCCTAATATATAATCAAATGTATATAGTTTTCATATCTTTCTTCCATTTTTTCATCTTGATTTACGATGTTTCAAATAATCAAAAATTCTTACACACACAGGCTTTCTTCAAATGTATATAATATACCTTAACCATTTTTTCATCATGGTTTTGTTTACTTTTATGATTCTTTTTAACACTTGTTTTAACTGCTGAATTTAGCATTAATTATGTTTTTTTTTAGTAATCCATTAGCTAAACGATTTAATGATCAAAATCGATTTAGTTATGTTGTAGCATTCAGTAATGTTTTTTAATTCTTTAATAGATATTTTATGTTATGCTCGTAGATTTAATAAGTAAGAATTTCAGTTATTGAAATGTGTCTCATACGGAATTCACGTATTGGTATTGGTATTCTCATCTTGTTGTTGTTTTTTTTTAATAAACGTTGAATGAAATCGGTGATTCCATCCCATTGTTTTTCTTTTTTTATGTTTGCATGATCGGATTGTTGCTTCCAGCTTCTAAGTTTCGACCTCATTCCTTATGTTTTGTATAATCGTGACGTATTCTTCGTTTCTTTCTTTGCTTCTCTTGCTGATACTCGTTTACTTCTTGTTTTGCTTTATAATAAACATAAATAATAATGAATGTAATTCATTCACGATGAACCCATTGGGTTTAAGAAAAACTGCACCACGTTAATGTTCTCCTTTGCGGTTTTTTGTTCCGGGGGGTAAATTAGGCAGGTCTGCTCTCATCGCATAATACGACGTGAGGTTTTTCCAGTAGAATTTATAGTTTGAAAGCATTCTTAATGTAAGAATGATCAATTTCCAGTGAAGGGCAGTCAAAATCTGAACAAAAAGGTGAATTTGTAAGTGCAAATTGACCGATTTCAGAAAAACATACCATAAACCACTCTAACTCAGTGACATCACCATATTCTGCGCTTGAAAATATGCACATTTTTTTAAAGCTGCTAGGAATTGAGGTGTTCTGAATTACGGTACCTTGTCTGTCTTCAGTTGCCAGTGAATATAAATCGAAAAAGATACCTTCTCTCACACAAAAAAATGCAGAATTTATGAAGGAAGAAGTTAGGAAAATGTTTCAATCGGTTTGTTGCAATTTAGCAGCAAATAAATGCCCTTCACACTCATTACATGTGTAATCCCAACAACGCCACTACCATCGCTAACTTTTCCCCCATGTTGCCGCAACGTAGCCCGGAGAACAACATTGTGATTCAACAGCCCAAATATTATGTCATTTTGCGATAGTTTGCACAGTGTCTCATCTTATCATTCTTTATCTCGGTGTGTTTATCCCTTGTAAAAGGTTGCATTCTACTTGCGAATCATTTATTTTTTATATCACTATTCCCCTATGTAGGCGAAAGGATGCTGATTCTGAATCTACTCTCGATTGCTGTTTCTATTGCTAAACGCTCCACCCTATGGATCAATCAAAAACATTCAACTTTCGAATGCATTCAAATAACAGTATTTATCAACCCAGAAAACAAACCTACAATAGTACGTTTTCGTTTAGTATAATATAACAATGTACTGCACTTGCCTAGCGATTAAAATAATCTTCTGTTTGTAATTGTAATATGGTTAGTGTTCTCCGAATACGGAAACATTAATCAAACCGGTGACAAACACAATGATATTATCGTCGTTAAAAAGCAATCTCTTCTAAAACAAGAAACTTTCCGTCTCAATCTCATTCCGAAATTTCTTTTTCTGCCGATAGCAAATGTTAACCTTCGAATTTCCAACTACTTCTGTTGGCATACTCAATATGGAAAGAAATTTTGATTATAATTACCTATATTAGAACATAAAAGTAACTGTTGGTTACTAGCAACAAAGGCATCTACTGCTGCCATTCTATATGACTGTTAACAGTTGTTGCTTTTTTAATTTGTTTTGCTGGACGTTTGAAATTTCGCGATATTTTCCACTAACCCATCTTGAAACAAAGTAATGGTAAGCAAGCTATTTGAGAAAAATAATCAATCAATTAAGTTTTTAAAGCATATTTTTTTCTTTGTAAAACAAAACAATCTGCTAACGCATTCGCGTTCTCTAGCAGAATCAATTTAACTGTACCATATTTGCAGTGATGGTTACCAAAAACGAAACGGCTACAGTAAGTAATTTTGTTGCTGGCACTATTCTAAAAGTATATATGAGTTACATGATTATTAAAAAACATAGTTTTACTCTTGCTTTTACAGACCCCGTTCGGAGGTTATGCAAAATGAAATAGATATAATAATATAAAAGCCTAAAACGTAAAATGTCGTATAAAAGTTTGGAAACTAGACTATCTATTGAAATAAACCGATGAGCGTCACAATAAAGAGTGTTAATAATTGGCTACTATGTAAACATTTGATTATGTTTGTAAAAATATAATTCATAATTATATTTCCATGCAGTTTCAAAACGAGAAATGAGTTAAAACTTTACAATTAATAAAATGTGCTCTAAATCACTTCTCAATATTTTGATTTGTTTTGTTTTTATCTGTTAGTTTTGTATTATTTTTTTTTTTCTAAAGCTCCTAGCTGTAAGTTTTATAAAGAATATATAATGTGAATAAGAATAATAGTTACAAATAACGAATAGCGAATAAGTGATAATATTAGCAATATAAACGTTTAATAAATAGAATAATTATAATATTCATATTGTAATATAACCATCAATAATAATAATGAATCACCTTTTCCTGGTCTGTATCACGCTATCGGTTGCTTGGCTCCTTTTAAATTTTATGTTTCCTACTAGAACTCGAAAGATGTTTTACACACAATTTGTCACACTTTCCATTTTTTTTCTTTTTTACCCCTTCCTACTGTCACTGCACAATTTATAGGAAATATATATATATTATGTATATATATATATATATGTATATATATATTAGCTAGTCATCTTGAATATTTGTTTCACATGATGTAATTTTTAGTTCCTCATGATCAGCCCATCCTAAATAGAGCAGTTTTGTTTCGATCCGAAAAATATTTCTAAAACACACGTTTTCTGCAAAACAGAAAAGAAAAGTTTCTAAAACAAACATTGAATAGTAGTTAGTTGTAGTTTAGTGATAGGCGCTTACGAAACTAAGCGCAATTTGCAATTGTATCCATCCTTATATTCCGCTTTCAAGCATGCCCAATGAACTTCTTTTGCTCTTAGACAAGAATAGCGTATATCAATCCTGCCAATCTGGATCGTTCCTCACGTTGATAATTTTTAAAATTTGTATCGATCTTGATTTCATTTAATGAAATGTTACTCTTTGCTGGTTCTTTGTCATATCTGTCTACTACTTAGGAGCACGTAAGCTTCATCACCAGCTTAAACTATATCTACGCCTACATTTTTTTTTGCGTTATATAGGAGATATTGATCACAATCAGTCAATGCGTGTGTGTGTTTGCATTAGTGTACGAATGTAATGACGATGAGTGTGAATTTTCTATGTTTCTCACATGCCTACACTCCATTCTCGTCCAACTCTAGCTCGGACTCGAGACGGAGTGCGAGCTCTCGCATGTCGTCCGCGATTCCTGCCTCATATGAATCTTCATTGTTGTTACTATTGTTGCTATTGATGTTGCTAATGCTACTACTGGCTGTGCTATTGTTTAGGATGGTATTGTTGCTGCTATTTGCACCACCACCAGTGCTGTTGCCGTTGTTACCGTGAACTCCAACCACCAGGTCGCTAGCGTCGGTCGATGGTTTCAGGCCGGACAGATCCAGTAGATTATTCCACAGCGGTGGCATGGCCACCGATGATGATGAGGACGATGATGCTGCTAACACTCCCGGCACGGGCGACAAACCTGTCATCGTTTGCTGGGCCTGGATAAGGATCGATAAAGAAAAATAAAAGTAATGCAAAAATTAGCTTTGTTGATAAGTTTGCACTTTTATAGATGTATTTTATAAACAATTGGAGAAATCATTTAAAATGATTTGTTGACGTTCCTAGACTGTATTGCCCGTTTGATCATTGTCGTTTTTGTGTTGATCGAAATAGTTTCGCCTCCACGTTTTAAGATTAATCTTTGTCCCTATTTTGTCTTCTAGATACATATTAGAGAAAGATTACAGTTAAACTATGTATTCAAAAGCGAAGTAACTGGTTTTCAAATGAACCATTTGCAGAACGTTCTATTCAATAAAATAAAAGAGTGAAAAGACAAAACTCATTTGTTTTTCAAATAATTAATAAAAATCCCAACTGCACAACATACACACTTTCGGCTGTTGGAGATTTTACCGAGCTAGATTAAGTGTGTAAGTTGAAACCACCGACAAACCGACATGAATGACCATGATTTCTGCTCAAAGCACACTAATGACATCTGTCTTCGCTTATCTAAGCCACGAAACACGCATGCAAAATTTATGACTTGGTTCGTGTCTGATCTATTCTAGACAAGTTATTTTTATCTAGATACAAAATGTCTATGGTTTTGACAGATGGGATCGCTGCACATTTTAATCAAGTGGAGGCACAGGCACACTATAAAATAGGTATGCGAAAATAATCTATTCTCAAACATTATTTACAATGTCACGCTATTCTAATGTTGTGTATATGTTCCTAAGCGGACCCTCCGCGCCAAATTTAAATATTTTGGGATTTGGAAAACCCTTGTGCCCTGAGATAACTATTACAATTTCTCCTATAGATCTTTTTTTGGGCCTTGGTGTTAGCTTCAAAACGTCAAACCAATTAGGTTGTTTCATTTCGAAAATCATACCGGTTTTTATACATCATCTTAAAGAGTTTCGTTTTCTGAACACAACTATATTTATATCGATCCCATAGACATTCATCTCAATTTTTAAATCAAGATTTATATTTTAATTTTTGACGCTAAATCTATTAGTTCACAGTTTGCTCCCATACAAAGTCCCACCGAGGGATGCTAAGGCGGTGATTTTTGCTAATGTAATCGCACTTATTTAAAATAGTTCCAGTGTATCCAAATTGATGAAATTTTTGATTTTGGTTCCTTTTTTAATGCAGATTACGAATATATATTTACCTTAATACGCATAAACAACCCAATTTAGAAAATCTACTAGAATATCAAAATCAATTGAAAATAGGGGTTTTTAGGGGTATTGCATATTCGTAATCTACATTAAAAATGGAACCCAAATCAAACATTTCATCAATTTTGGTGCACTGGAACTATTTTAAATAAGTGCGATTACATTAGCCAAAATCACCATCATAACACCCCTCGGTGGGACTTTGTATGTCTACAGAATGTAAAATAACACTAATAATCGTTTAGGGTGTGTAACGTTTCATATTATGTGCTAACATTCAACAAACAACGATAAAAATTAGTATTTTTTTTTAATTTGTTGGACATTATTCATAGTTTTTTTATGCTTAGGATTTCACATAAATATGCATGCTTAGATCTTGACATGTCCTAGGCCCCAATCCTGAGTTTTTTTTTAATTATTGTTAGGTTCATAATTTATCTCAACCTTCTTAAGATGTTGAGACTTCATAAAGTTCGTTGTTCATATTTTTCAATTTCCAATTTTTGAATAAAATCAATACCATGTATTGAACACAATTTCACATCTGCAAGATCAAAATTTATTAAACACAAGATGCTGGACAACAATTATTCTGATTTTTTATGGTACACTATCAAACTGCTAATGTTTCAAGAATTAAAAAAAAAAAACAAATTAGGAAAACATAGGGCTTAGATCTAATTTTGGGCGTACTAAGCACAACCCACCCTTTGCCTCTATTGTTCGAGTGGATTTTTTCACAAAATGGAATGTTTTCACTGCAGATGACTTCTAAATTTATTTACCTTTCCGTACGTACCGTAATATTTGATAAAGAGAAACAAATTGTTGAGATATTGTTAAAAATCTAACACTGCTTCTTGACCCCAAACTCGGTCTACGGATTCTTAATTAGGCCTAATGCATTGAAACGCCATTGAATTCACTTCGGCCTATCGGATGAAGTTCTTTTGCTTTTGAAAAAAAAAATGGGTGTGAACTTTCAAATATCGCATTTTCATTGACTTCGTTCGGTAGCTTTTGAACTAAAGTATCGTACCAAACGTATAATTGACATGAACTCTGAAACAATGGATTTATTTGATGTTTTCTGCTCTATAGGCCCAAAATGGGTGATTCAGCCGAAGTAGTGCATCGCTAAAAAACAAATAGTTGAATCCGATGTTTATATTCGATGTTTATTCGACTGATAAATGTTCAAGAACCAGTGTGGCGAAGAAATTAGAACATTCAACCTAAACCTTGGTTTGGAAAACCTTAGTAAACTGCACAGTGCATGATTTGTGTATAGTTCTAAGAGAGATGAACTAGCCTTCAGCTAAAAATCTCTATAACAAAGATAAAAAAAAAATAGTTCTAATTTATTCGTCAAGTTAGTTCTTGAACATTCATCATTTGAATAAATATCGGATTCATGAATAACATATTAATTTCTGTAAACCGTGACGAAATTTATCGCACGAAGTCTTCGGTTCACTACCAAAGCCTGCTGAACGGACATATGAACACTTGAGATCAACGTGGCACGTGTCACTGTTTGGAGAATTAATCTGAGTTTTATAAGTTATTTACACTTAGAAACTCACCTTCAAATCCTTCAGCTCCTTGAAGCTTGGAATCTTCAAATCACCACTTCCGCCATTTCCCATCAGTTCAGTCAAACGTATGGCATCCATCAGGTGGCTTGGCAACTTGTGCGACTGCAAAGCATGCTGCTGTTGATGCATTTGATGTTGCTGTTGCACAAATGGGTGGTGGTGCTGCTGCTGCTGCTGATGTTGCTGTTGATGGTGATGAGGCTGCTGCTGTTGCTGGTGATGTGGCTGGGGTGAGGAATGATGGGAATGCGCAGCATGTTGCTGGTGATGTGACGAAATGAGTGTCGCAGCCACTCCATGATGCCCTCCAGAAAGTTGCACTGCAGCAGCCATATTTTGAGAGGCAGATGTTGCGTGAGACAAATGATGTTGCTGCTGTTGTTGTTGTTGTTGTTGCTGTTGTTGTTGTTGCTGCTGTTGTTGTTGCTGCTGTTGTTGTTGTTGTTGTTGCTGTTGTTGTTGTTGTTGTTGTTGAAGCAACTGTGCCTCCACTTGATGATGATGTAAAAGCTGTGATGTACTATTTGATTGATTTGCACCACTGAGGGCACTAGTATAGTCCGCTAACTTACTGTCTACCTGGAACAGATCCAACTCCAGCGTATTATTGTTCGGTTCGCTCTTATTACTTGATGTTTGGGACGATGCTGGATGTACTTGCTGCGAATGTTGATAAAAGGACGATGATGCAGATGAACAATTAGAAGAAGATTGATCACCAAGTCCAGTAACATCGTTGTACAAGTGCTGTTGCATATTTAGAATCCAGTCACTATCGAGCAGATTATTTGCAAACGGAAAATCGCCTCTTGATTTACCAAGTTGATTGGTCATCCGCGAAATTGGCCCGAATTTATTGTTGATAGCATTGGAAAAGTCGCTCTCGGACAGAGAGAAGTCGTCATCATTGAGCAGCGAGTCAGACCGGACGAACATATCTTTGTTTGTTCCAGTCAGATTAGCTAGATCGGAACTACCACCTAGGTTGAGCATCTTAAATAATTCGATTGTTTCACTACGACTGAGAGGAAGATGAGGATATCCATTATTTATTGCACCATTATTTCCAGAGGTCCCACTTCCATTGCTTAACAAATTCGGAGTCGTTTGTGAAAGTGAATTATGCAGGTTACTTCTATTGCCATTACCAAACGTTGTTTGTTGCTGTTGTTGCATCGAAGGGGTTTGATGCGGTGGCTGCGAATGAGCATGAGGCATATGCATTCGATTGTTGTTAGGAATCATGGGGTGTTTATCGCGGTATTCACGAGGTTTGTGGTGTAGTGGAGTATTTCCTTGGTAGTATTTGCCACTACTGCCTGGTACAGGATGATGTTGTTGTTGTTGTTGTTGTGATTGCTGAGAAGCCAATGGTGGCATAGAATGCTGCGAGTGAGGTGTCATTGCTGGCGGCGGCATATGATTTTTATTTCCCATCATAGCAGACGGATAAGACGGATTAATACCTGATTTGGGTGCATGCTGTTGCCCAATTAAGTTAACAGGAGGAACTATAGAGTGCGGACCTGGTGCACCAGAAGGTGCATTATTGGGATTCGGAATTGATGGAGGGGGTTGATTTTCCCACGGGTTGAACTGTCGCCTCTGTTCCATCTTATCCGGATAGTCTGGAAACGCTTGATTGCCTACAAATGGTGGCGGTGGTGGTGGTGGTCCATTCATCAATTGCGGATGCACTTGATCCATTGGTGGTGGTTGGTTAGCGGGATATGTAGGATGATTTCCACCGTGTAAGATGTTCATTGGAGGCCCATTTCCGGGATTGTGTTGCATGGGTGGGGGCGGTGGTGGTGGATGTCCCATGTAGCTTCCATTCGGCGGTCGGATAAAGTTTCCTCTTATCGGTCCAGAAGTATGAACCGGAGGAGGTGGCATAGGTGGTGGTGGAGGCCGGTTACCATATGAAAGGTTACCGTTTCCTCCAGCAGGATAGTTTGGATTGAAATTGAAATTTCGTCCATTGGCACCGTGTTGAAGTGGTGTTGGTGGAGGCGGCACGTTCGAGTACGGAGGATGTTGATGGGGTGGGATTGGCGCTAAATGACTATTATGACTACTGTTACTATTACTACTTCCGCTTGCGTGACTGTGACTGCTCATCGGAGATTTGTCTAGATATCTCATCGGTGGAGCTGACTTTGGATATCGCATTGGTGAAGCTTCCTCACCAGATGAATGGTATCCATGTGAACTGGATGGCATGGCAAGATCTCCTATGTATTCACCATGATCTTTTCCATTCGGAGTTCGAATGTTGTTCTTTCGAAGCTTTGTACGATATTTCTCGAGTTCTTCTTCCGAATGCGCAAATGTACAATTCGGTCCGCGCGGGCAGGTTCCTCGGAGATTCAGGTCACGACACAGGCTAATTTTATATTTACTATTATGAGCTAAGTGTCCTGGCTCTTGTAATTTTCGGTTGCCATGATGCTGTACAAAATCGACCAGGCCTATAACGACCCGCTTGACTGCTTCCAGCGCTGTTGAACATTCGCGCCACGTTGGCACATGGTTCTCAGCATTCGAGTCAATGCTTGCGAGATGTTTGAGATGCACACGCAATCCGGACAAATTAGCTGGATCACCTGTTCGCTGGAGTGCTATTATCAACTCCTGCACGGATTGCACGAATGATTGTGGTGTTTGTAGTTTGTCTATAATGCTTTGCATGTGTGACTTATGTGCCGTATCGCCATACAGCAAGGAGGACCACTGATCGGGAGCTATCCGGAGACCGGCTTCGGTTGCAATTTGTACTATTTGTGCATCATGCTCCCGTCTCAGTGCTTCATAAGTACGGAATTCTTCCTTCAACTGCATCAATGATGAATCTCCCTCCCGTTTTGACACTTTGAAACAACTTGCCCTGTACAGGAGTTGTACAACATGTCCGATACTGGTTTTTGAAGCCTGTGGGAAATGTGGCTCCAATCGTTGTACTACAAACATAACCAATACTTTCCTGGAAAGTGCCGATCCATCCTCCAGTGCTAATAGCACCAACTTCAACACTTCCTCCTGCATAGCTGGACCGAGAAATTGGCAGCCACGTGCTCTCACCGCTGCCCACAGATTAGTACTTAGCTGTTGTGGATTTTGATGCTGCAGTATCAGCTCGGTGACCGTTCGTTCGCCTAGCGAGCGAGCGGCACGCAACGATCGCGCACGTCCTTCATCCTCAATCAACTGACAATTGACCAGGGTGACCAATTTGCGCTGCATCGGACGCGAAAGAAGTCCACCGGCGTTACCATTTGGGTACGGTTTCAGGTAGAGGGCTAACTCTTCGATACATCCTCGGGCTGTCTTGTAACACAGCAAATCCTCCGGGCTCAGATTCTGAACACTAGGTGAGCTAAGGTCTGGATCGATTGCGCTGCCACCGGGAGTAACTGTGCCTCCGGTGGATGATCCTGACGAGGAATTGCCGGTGCCATTACCGCTCCCGGGACTGCTACCAGCTGCGTTGCTGGTGCTGACCAACTGTAGTAAGGCATTGTTTACCGGTAGATTATCTAGGTCTGTCGATATAATTGTCTGCAATGGAAAAAAAAACAAATGGAAATGCGGAATTAGTAAATTATTTATTAATCTGCTTGTTATTTTTCGTTTTTACTTAAAACCCTGTGCTGCAATGGCGGACTATTCACATGCAGACCAGATCGCCATTTGAAAGAGATAGGAATAGGGTACGGTAAGATTTAAGGACTGTTTTGGATTTTTCACGAACGACACTAAGTTTATAGTTGAAGATGCTAATTTCAACTATGCTTTGGGTGTATTTAGGTTTATTTTGATGTTTTATTGCATTATGTAAAAGGTTGAATATGCACTTGGAGTGGTGTGAAAAAAGAAAAGTGATACTGTTGGTAAAGTGGGACAAATGCTTCACCCCAGCGGCTCCGATGGTGTAGTGGTAAGCGTGATAACCTCTCACCCCAGCAGGCCAGGGTTCAATCCCAGTCGGTGCCGCCGGGATGTTCTGAGGCATTACATTTCTGATCACGCCTTCCTTCGTTGGTGCCTGGCTCATGAGTTGGTGGGTCGATAGGTAGGGTCCAGGCGTGGGAACTGCCTCCCTGGCGTCGGTCTGAGCACTGGTGCTCAGCACGGAAAACAAGATCGACGGAAAAAAAATCAAGGAAGAAAAAAATGCTTCACCCGTTTGCATGAACATAGTTCAATCATAGAGGTAACTCTAAGACCAGAAGGTCCCGAAGAAACGTGCTCAAATGTTTGGCTCAGCTCTGGTACTGTCTTCGGTCCCAAGCTAATCGATGCACTCTTCGAACCATAGGAAAATCCACGAGCCACTCATTTTATCTGTCAAACTTTCATAGCGAATCAAAACAAACATAGTGTAGTACTAGAATTTCGACTAGAATGGAGTACGCTAATAGATGTACTTGGGACCAATAGGCTAGTCAAGTAGTGAGCTAATTTTAAATCGTTAGTTTCCACCGGTTGGTTGAATCTAGCTAGGGAAGATGTATAAATTAAATAGCATTTTAGAGTGACCAGCCATTGATAAATACGCTACAAGGGGAAGGGGGTCCAAAGTTGGTGCTTCATCAAATGCAAATAAACGTTTAACGTTTGTTTACATTTTATGAATCATCAACTTTGGTCCCCCTCAAAATTATAGCGTATTTTTCTGCGTGGCTGGTCACCCTAAAATGCCACGTGATTTATGTATAATCCCTTAGGATCTATCCCAAGCCGCTTTTGTTGAAAATCATAACTGACAACTCTGTGTAATTACAGCTGATCTGGCAATAACGGAGTAGCACCCGCGGGCGGTCAATCATGCTCATGTTCTAGGATCTTGAGAAAAGTAGCAAAAATGTATGACTTTCATAAAACAACAGTAATGTGTTGGTCCAGTTTTGTGAAATCACTGGTAGGTAGAAAATCACACAAAAACTGCTTGACAAAGTGGTCCACGGTGGCATCTTCACTCGCATCACTATCAATAATACACTCCCGACCTGACTATCAAAGCTGTGCAGCTTTCAGTGAGAGCACGAGAAATCACACATTACACTGAATGCATTGTGTGCTCTTGCTGTAGGCTCTGGATGACGCTATTTATATACAAGTTGTGTAGGTATCATGATGGTGATGACTAATACAATTATTCCAACTATCTGACGTAAACAATTTAGTCTCACTGTCTCCATTTTCCACTCTCCTCAAACCTCGTTTACCATTGATCGTATAAATTTTCTATAGAGTTTGACACAAGCTATTGGCCCCAAGGGACTAAAGCAAATATACAGGACAGACAGGATATGATACGTTTCCCTAAAATATTCAAGGGTTAGTGAAATTAAAATTTCAAATGCTCGGAAGATTTTACGGCTTTCCACCGGGTGCTGTCCTACATACAAATTTCGGAGTGTACAGAAAATCGGAACAAGGAAAGCACCGTAAACTGTTCATCAAATAATAACGGTTTTGCGTGCGACAACGGCGGCAACAAAAATACAGTAAACATTCGAGGCGACGGTTATGCATAATAAGAAAAAAGGGTACGAAACGTGAATATAAAATGACGTCACTGTGGTTTACGTGGACGGTTTTGGTCCATGCCGAGTGTGACGAGAGAAGGATTTTTTTTACTTTGCAGTTTTAGCTTTAACATTCACGTTCCTCATCAATTATAGATTTGCTATCAATCTTTATCCCACAGATCCTTTGGCGATCTTCGAACCTGGTATCCGGATATTGTGCATCATGATGTATGTAGGCATACCTAAATATATATGCATGAACATAGCGCGTAGAAACGGAAGCATAAAATTGGTCGATGAAATTTAGCAATCTGAACTTTCGACGGGTAAAGCTTATGGCTTTAATAGCAACATTGACGGCAATATTACGTACTATATTGAAGTCTGACGTAAAACATACATGCTGTGAATTTTTCATGATTTTAGCGCCCTTAGGGGGAGGAAACATTTGAATATTTAAAAAGCTATGAAGTGTATCTTGAGTGTAATTGAATAAGGGAAACATGGTAGTAGTGAATGAAACATTATGTTCGATGCTGAGAAAATTCACGCCAATTGACGAATCGATTAAATTTTACCCTCTCCGAATTTCATGACAATTTAATAATTGTTCTATATGGTCAACATAATAATGTTGTGCTAGAATTAGGTAATTTTGACACACCTCTAATTTTTCAAAATGGCGTATTTGGAATTAACCATTGCACAAAAATGGCTCATCTAATCGAAATGACGCCCAAGACAAACTTGTAAGAAAATGCCTAACAAATCACAAATTTTGATCAAAGAATAAAAAAAAGAACTGTAAAAATTTTATTAGTAAAAATATGTAAAAATGTATATTTTTTTAAATTTTCAATGTCTGAAATAGAAAACAACGGTAAATACGCAAAACTCTCTTTTGAGGTTGGCATCTTTGCTTTTTAATGCGTTTGGAGCTTTAAACTTTTAGCGATGGTGAGATCTTGTTTGTCTTTTGGCATTTGTATAATAAAGCTTGATACTTTTGCAATTATGGCCTACGAGCTTCAAAAATTTAAAAAATGATTAAATTAATCATATCATATGATTAAATTAATCATATTGCCAAGCGGTTTTGAGACGATTGTTCTAACTTAGCATAAATAACTCCCTATTTTATCTAGGTTCTAGAAGAATGTTTCAAAACGCTTGAATAGCCAAACGAACAGCAAAGCACCTCAAAATGATGAAATGGTTAAAAACGACAAAATCGAAGCGATATTAAAACGCCAAAATCTCAAAAACGCTGAAAATGGTTTTATAAACGTTAAAATAGCCTGAAATTTGTACCGGCCGGATTCGAGACAAACACCATTTTTGCGGGATTGTTGTCCGGCATTCTTACAACGTGTCTCGCCCATCGTACCCGTCCAGCTTTCGCGACTTTCTGGATACTGGTTCACCATAGATTTGCGCCAGCTCGTGGTTCATCCTTCTCCTCCATACACCGTTCTCACATACCCCGCCAAAGATGATCCTAAGCACTCGTCGTTCGAAAACACCCAGTGCTTGTAGGGCCTCCTCGAGTCTTGTACATGGTACATTTAGTACGGGGGTGAAGTTTACCCGACCTCAGGGTCTTGTGGAGTCCGTAGTAAGCACGACTTCCGGAAATTATGCGTCTAGGAATTTCTCTGCTGCAGTTGTTATCCGACGTCACCAATGATCCAAGGTACACAAATTCATCCACCACCTCGAACTCATCTCCGTCGATTGTCACGCTTCTGCCTATGCGAGCCCTATCGCGCTCGGTTCCTCCAGCTAACAGATACTTTGTCTTCGACGTATTCACCTTTATTCAACCTTCTCTGCTTCACCTTTCAGTCTGGTGTATTACTCCGCCACGGCCCGAAACGTTCTTCCGACAATGTGTACATCGTCAGCGAAGCAGATGAACTGGCTGGACTTATTGAAGATCGTGCCCCGCATGTTAAAACCCGCATGTTTCATAACACCTTCTAGCGCAATGTTGAACAGGAGGCAGGAAAGGCCATCGCCTTGTCGCAGCCCTTTGCGAGTTTCAAACGGGTCCGATAACGCACCCGATATCTTCACGCAGCACTGTACACCATCCATCGTAGCCCTGATCAGTCTGGTCAGCTTCCCGGGGAAACCGTTCTCGTCCATAACCTTCCATAGCTCTTCACGGTCAATAGTATCATAAGCGGCCTTGAATTGCGGGATCTCCAGGTGTACCGATATGGGAGGCTATGCTGGAAGTAGGATACTACGTATGGCCATGTTCTTAGAGGCGGCGAAATCGATAAGTCTGAGGCCGTTGGCGTTCGTTAGCTGGTGTGCGCTGAACTTTCCTATAACCGGTCTGAATTCCTCCTCTTGGCTGACCTGATCTCCGTTAAGATCTCCGATAACGATTTTGACGTCATGGTTTGGGCTGCTGCCGTATTCCCGTTTCAACTACGCGTAAAAAGCATCTTTATCGTCATCGTCACTTGCTAAGTGAGGGCTGTGCACGTTGATTATGCTGAGATTGAAGAAACGGCCTTTGATCCTCAACTTTCACATTCTGCTATCGATTGGCCACCAGCCAATCACGCGCTTCTGCATTTCGCCCATCACGATGAAAGCTGTACCCAGCTCATGTGTATTGCCGCAGCTCTGGTAGAGTGTATAACTATCCTTATACGTATGTACCGACGATCCCTTCCAGCAAACCTCCTGCAGCGCTACAATGTCGAACTTTCGGGCCCTCAATAAATTGGAAAGAATGCGGTTACTTCCCAAGAAATTGAGAGTTGCAGTTCCATTTTCCGAGTTTCCAATCGTTAGTCCGTTTTCGTTGCCTGGGTCTATGCCGATTGTTCCGGTCCGTATTTACATTACTAGCTTCCTGTCCTTAAGTTACTTTACGGCTGGCTTGTAGGGCCAGCACCAACCCCCATTGTCTCGCCGGAGGACCCACGCTGGCACCAGGACGTTGATCAGCCGCTCCTAACATAGATAACAGATGCCGTTTTGAGCCGCACCTCCATGATGAACAGACACTCGAAAACTGCACTCTCTGGCAAGCATACCAAAAGTACCGCCTCATGACAGTATTCCAACGGCTGTCGCTTTCTTTTTTCCAACGACAGCCTTGAGATTGAGCTATAAGCGACAGCCCACAGTGAAGGCCGGCGCACAATAGATACGTTTTCTTTCAGAAAATCCGAAAACGTATGCATTGTGCGCCGACCTTGAGGCTGTCATACGACATGCAACGTTGCCGTCTTGGGCAGTACACGATAGCTCGTGCTTATTCATGTATTTTGTTCGTTCGGCTATGACAGCCTCGGATGGTCATTCGTAACGTTCCTCGTACATACAACAAGCAGTCCGTCAAACTGCCGATTCGTTGCTGCTGTCTTTGAAATTTTTTTCGTATGTCGTGAGACTGCTACTACACTACCAGTGTGACGCCGAAGCTCGTTCGGTTGCTATCACGTTTGTGCTACCCATTGCAAAATTTTCATCCGATATTTTTTTTAAAACGCGCGGTCTTGTGCAGATCAGACATTCCGACATTCCGGGGAAAAATATAAGCCTACCCGACACCAACCTGACTTCTACCAAACCCCAACCCGATGTTGGCCCGACATTTACCCGACATAAAAACAGAATTGTCCCGACACCGACCCGACATTTGGCCGACGTCGATCATAAATTAACCTTACATTGATCCGACACCGGGCCGACATGTCTGTTCGGGATCATTTTTCTGGGTTTTTTCCATACTCCACTGCCTTATGGTTCAATTTACTTTGATGCTTTTTCAAAAATTTCAAAAGCATTTTTTTCCGACGCATTATTTCAGATTGCAAAAAGCTCGCACTATTCGATTCCTTTTGATATTTTACACAAAATGACGCGAGGTTTTTGCAATCTAAAATAATGCGACGAAAAAAAAATGTTTTTGAATTTTTAAAAAATGCATCAAAGTAAATTGAACCTTATATCAATTGTATATAATGTCTCGTGACAGCCACTTGGGTAAGCTGAGGGATGTCGTCGGTTTGCGAAGGCTGTCATGACTACAGAAACATTGAAAACCTGGTCATAAATAAATGTATAAATACAGCCCATTCGGGTCACTACGTTCCAAACACGATGATTTTAGCAAAGCGGGTATAGATGCGACTGTTATAATACACCCAACCGGTGGATGTAAGATTCGCTTACAATTATGTGGGATTCATCATCAGAGGATCTAAGTGGAGACCGCATGAACCGAGGATGCGATATACCTAGCTGCGGTCCGATGTAAGAAAATTGGAGACCGAAAAATGTGGAGTGTATTAGTGAGTGAAATTAATTATGTCGAAAAAATAGAAAAAAGGTTGCCGACTGGACTCGAACCACGGACGTTGCGACTATCAGACCTGTGCTTTATCCACTGCTCTCTTCATGCTTCTGAATATGGTTAGCCTAAAAGCAAACATGAAGCGCTCATTTTCTCGCATGCTCGACTTCGTATGCTTTTTCTGCTGGAGAGATTCGAGACAAGTGTGTGCGTCGTTCTACAATGTTCTACAATGTGCGTCGTTCTACAAGCTTACTGGTATAGTCGAAAGCGTAGATGGAACACGAAATAAAAAAAGACAAAAAACCATTACATCGCCTGCATGGTCAATTCCTAACATTCGTTGCGATGTTCATGAACAGAGGATGATAGGAGCTGGAACTAACATTCATTGTAATAGATTTTTGGTTTGCGTGTACAGCTTTCATTTGTTCGTGCGTGCGCTGTTGCCAATATACTTCGAATTCAGATCTGAACGTACGGTAGCAAGCGGTAGTAAAGCACGCAAAGCAACATTCAATTCAGGAAAAACCAACTGTCTCGAAAAGGCTGTACTATTTGGAAGCCTGCTCTCCGGAGAGAGGAGTCCCCTCCCCCCATAGTCGATCTTTCCTATGATTACTCGTAACCCAGCCGGCAGCGCGTGGAGGTGATGGAGGAGATTGGAGTAACTGAACAAGAGACTAAGTGACCACGCCCACAGAGGTGTTGGGGTCTATTTTATACCTGCAGATACGCGAAGTATCGATGGTACGCATTGTCCAGCCGTTTACCAGGTCAAGAATATTCATACTGTCTTTAACAAGCTCAAAATCTCCAATAAGGACTGTTCATGTTATAAAACGGACACACACTTTCAGTCCCAACTTTTTGATTTGAATACTCAACTCAATGCTTTCTTCGGCAAGTTTCAATCTCTACTTAAAAGTAACATAGAAAAAATAATAAACAATATATTCGAAGCAGCATGTAATTTTTACCAAATTTTAAATCAATTGTGCTCTACAATGTATTTTTTATACTGATATCAATATAACTAGAATAGCGGCGCCGGTGGTGTGGTGGTAAGTGATATTGCCTCTCACTTCAAAGGGTATGGGTTTAATCCCAGTTGGCGAAGTCGGGAATTTCTGAGGCATTAAATCTCTGATCACAGGGAAGTCTCCGGTTTATGAGTTGGAGGGTCGATAGGTAGGATCTGCCTCCCTGGCGTCGCTAGCACAAAGAAACAATTCTGACTTTTAACTATCGCGTAAAATCTCCCTCCGTTTAATGTTGAGCTATAGTTGACATAAACAACGAAGTAGTTTACAAGCCTGCATACAACATTGATAATTTATGCGATATTGCGCTTAAATTTATACGAAATAATCGCGTAAATTTACGCGAAATCAAGCGTTAATTTTATGTGCGCTATATCTCGCAGAAATTAACATGAATTTTTCAAACGTTGGATATATTTTGCAATTGTGTCAACCAGATATTTTTTATATCAGCTCTTCTAAAAGATGAAACACATCAACTAAAATAAATATTAATTTTGTAGAACAAAGTGTTTGTACGATTTTGCATAATTTTTGGTATCATTTTTCGTCCCACGTTTACAACGTTGGTAAATTGAGAACACATAATATCTCAAAAATTCCGACGGGTCAGTTATGCAGTTATGCGTCTAATTATCATTAATTTAAACAATGCTTATTTTTGTTTGGATCATAATCTATACATATCCTGAATAAACAATATAAATACAATGAAAAATGAAAAAAATACAAATAATGTTTTATGTCTGTTTTATAACTTGAACAGTCCAAAAAACGCAAAAATAGCCCTGAAACGCCAAAAATAAATATGAGGACACCAAAATAACCCATGCTTTCAATCAATTCAGTTGGGCACTTCTGAAACTTTTTTATTAATTTCAAATTCAAACCGGTTTTACTAGCTCCAATGATTATTTCAACAAGATGTTAAATCCAGATAAATGTTACATAAACTTTTTAAAACGTTTTACCAGGTTGTCAGAATTCTTGCGTCCCATCTAAATACAGACTCATGGATTTAGAAACGCTGTTCTATGGGAAGATGAATTAATGACGTAGCATTTTAGGGTGATCAGCCATGTAGAAAAATACGCTACAAGGAGGGGGACCAAAGTTGGTGCTTTATGAAATGTAAACAAACTTTAAACGTTTGTGTACGTTTGATGAAGCACCAACCCCTCTTCCCCTTGTAGCGTATTTTGTGTATATGGCTGGTCACCCTAAAATGCAACATCATTTATGTGTTTTCCTTAAACGGTTAATAACTTTTTACACAGAATTCGAATCGATTTGCAGCCCTTGACAAAGTTCTTTTGCATAGTTTACCAAATTACACAGTAAGATTATTTAACAGGAGTCTTAGAATTTCTTAAAAAGTTGGTAAAATTTCAAATGACCGTCATCCGCACGGAATCAAATAAATTGACAAATTTTATGTTCTATCATTAAATGGGGTTAACAAAACAAAGTCTGTACAAATTCGGAATAAATTTACAATTTTTTTTTAAATTTCCACAGATTTTTAAACTTTTTCCGAATAGTTCCGCAAATCAAAAATAACTGGGCAGCTAATTTTTTTTTTACTTTATTAGAGAGATTTTTAGTCGTTGGCTAGTTCATCTCTAAACTGGCAGCTAATAAGCTGGATTAGTGTGTAAGTCTCAGGTATGGGCAATATTGAGCAATTTGTGAATTTTTCACAAGCAAATTTACATTTTTGATTATTGATTGATTTTATTACAGATGTTAGGGACCTCAATGCAAATCGAAAAAAATAAGGGGTTGTAAATTTGACCTACCCTAATGTATGTGTTTTAAAGCATTTTGCATCACATGTTTATATAATAAGCTCTTTCTGAGTAATACCTTTTCAGGAGTTGTAAAAATGTGCTATGAATAGTAATATTGTAGTAACACTGGGAACATAGGTTCGGTTTTAAGTACCTGGCAATCAAATAGTACAATTTTTGTATTGGATAGATGTATCAGTTATTACGTTCCTTTTATGGTGTGTTCCAATTAAGCCCTCTAGAATTCCCATATGTCATAGTTGGAACACACCATATTAGGTACGTATATCCATAACTGGTATCTCTACCGTATGGAAATAAGTAACAAAAGTACACTCACCTGATCGAAGGGACACTGCTTTCTGTGCAGAGTCGCCAAACAAGTACGGCATATGGTGTGGCCACATCCTAGACTGATTGGTGGACGTAAATTTGCTGCAAATTCGTTGCAGCAAACCGGACAGCTGAGGAATTCTGTCCATTGGGGCGCCTGAATCGGCATTCTGCAAGAAGCAAGAAAAAAACCACATCGACACCGAACAGATGATTGGCGCCAACAGTAGATATCACATTAGATGTATAGAATGGTTAAGCATGGGTTCTACTAATAATAAATGGATTTGTTGGTTTCTTATTCATCCGTTGCATGATGGTGATGGTTTGGTGGATACACATAGCGTGAATGTTGCACCACTGCGAACTGGCAGCAACAGCAGCAAGGCCGTCCAAGGTCGATCGTATGATTTCTTTGCGAAAGGCAACAGGTATGAGTGTCATTTTGAGCAGTGTATGAGTCAACCGGTTTGAGCTCTGCATCAACTGCCACGTTGATGCTCATTTCAACAACGGACTCAACGACAATTACAGGGAATTCCCGTGATGGTGGAATTAGTTATGTCCGACGACTACGGTCATCTAATACAAGTGTCTGGAAATGGTAATGTGGCTTGCTCGACGGACCGTTGACCATAATAGTGACATTGAGTTTAAGATGGTTTGCGTGCAGCTGGCGAGTTGTCGCAAGTATCATTCACTATTTCTTTTATCTTTCTTCACCAGCATTGCATTTTAGGTAATTCGTCGTAGTTCGTGAAGCTAGAAAGATTAGTATCTACACAACAACTTGCAATGGTTAACGTGCCCAACAGAAAAAAGCTTCTCAGACCCCACTTCAACGAAAGCGCGACTGGTTGTTGTTGTTAGGGTCGGATTTGTTTGCGCGTGGATACTTTTTCGATGCTGGTGTGTTTTTACTCTCTTTCGAGCGCCTGCTGCCGTGTGCCACGTTCAATAAATGAAAGGAAAAGCACACGTCGCGTCACCCGCCTTTTGAATTGTTGTTTTTCCTCTTTCTCTTCGTGAATCGTGCTGGCATATCCGGGCTAATCTTGTGGTAGTAGTTCGACATGTCTGGCAGTGATGTTGAGATGGCATTGGAAGCTCAATTAGAAACGGGTGTGGATCACAGATGGAGAGAAGAGAAGCTTTTAGCAAACGCATTATTGTCGACATAGAACAGCGGAGCCGAGACTTCTTCGAGAGGTGAAGGGTAACAAGATTTTGAGAAAAAAAAGATTCATCTAAGCAAAATGCCAATCAACTTTCAATTTCAGTCGGGGAGCCCTGGGCGATAAATCCTTTCGAAATAAAAACAGATATCAAACATTTTGTGTTGTACTATAGAAATGTATATTTTCTCCAGTAAATAGAAGGAAGTTGACAATTCGTTGAACGAAAGTAGGCTATTATATGGTATGCACTTTGAGCCTATCCACATACCACATACGTGCACAGTTTGTGAGAATTTTAGACCCCCTCTCCCACTGAGTGGACAATCGCTCATACAAAAAAAAAATGTATGGACCGATTACACTCGCCAAACACTCTACTCTCTAAACTGTCCACGTGATGGACAGCCCTTACTGACTGAACACGTCATTAAAGTTTGGAGCGAATCGATGAATATGAATAATGATGCTGGTTGATTCTATGGGAATTCTCGCGTTGATTTTGTTTAGGTATTTAATCTTAAATTCAATATAAGGCTGATGCAAACATTAATTTTATTTTATGTCCGAAATACCTCAAATAGGTCGAAAGAGGGGAGGGAGGGGAGGTTAAATAAATAACAAGGGACGTCCTTTCAATATTTTGTAATTACTAAATAAAAATATTTATAGAGATATAGTGTAGAGTACTATTTCGACCACTTTTGTCATATTAAGCAGAAACATCAAATATATCAATGCTTTCGACGTGAACGAATCAATGATACGTTTGGTATGATAGTTTAGTTCAAAATCAACAAAACAAAGCTTGTAGGAATGCATAATATGAATATTAACATCCATTCTTCTTAAAAAACAAACAAGCGCTCCTAGCGAATCAAATATTTCTTCCTTCGTTCGTATGCCGAAGTGAATTCAATGACGTTTCTATGGGTAACTGAAGCTTCTTGGAATCAAGAAGCAGTGTTAAATTTTTAACAATATCGCAACAATTTGTGACTTTGTATCGAATCTTACGGTACATTTAGATGTCATCTTTGATAGTAACATTTCATTTTTTGTGCAAACCTGTTCGAAAAAGAGAGGTAAAGTGTGGATTGTGCTTAGTGTGACAATACGCAGTAACTATAACGCGGAGAATTTGTGTTTTTATTCCTAATTTTTATTAATATTGATTTATTTTTTTAAATGCTTTTTCCAGTACAATACCGAAGTACCGATACTCACAAAAAAAGGTACGGTACTGACAACCCAAATTACACTATTATAGAAATACTACTGCAACTATACTGCCTATAATCACATATCAGTCATATATGAATGTTCCTCAATGTTGATATAACAACGCTATTCATGGTTGATTTTCGCAACAGATGTCGCTAGTAAAAATTACAGCGATTTATTTTGTATGCAGAAAACCGGAAAATGTTGTATTTCACAAAATTAGAACCTTTTTCAAAAAAAGATATTTGATACACTTAATAGTTTTAATTTTTACCGAACATGACTACTTAGAACACTTTCAAACTTAATAAAGTTATAAAAAAACACTTTTAAACTTGATGAATCGTATGAAGTAGATTAAAGATTCGATTTAATGTTTATCTACAACTTGTTACTCGAACTGCAGTTTACTTGAGCGTATACAATCCTCAGATATTAACATGGTCGTGAGGATGCAAAGATCAAATCGACATAGAGAATCTGTCAATGTTACTTAGGGCCTAATGCAATGTTCAGCTTGATACAACATAACATGCAAGCTTCATTGGAACTGATGTTAACTTGAAAAAAAAAAATAACAGCAAATTTACTGTGATTTTCAACGATTTACATGGGAACTGCACTTCGTAACTTCGACTGACATTTTCTCAATGTCTGCTGTTTTCATATGGAACTGATTATAAGCAGAATAGGCGCAAAGAAGTACATATCTTAAGGAGCATCTATCGTTTTCCGTCATTCTACGAGCTAATTTGAAGGTTCAAATATGTAAATACACTATACTATATTCTATTGACAATTCTCCATTAAAAAAAAATCGGGCTTTCTATCATTATTCATGCCATAACTCCATACCGCAACTATAGGAACACCTACCGTATCTATTGTTTACGTTTCGTGTCTGGTAATTTCACGAATTTTTTGTAAGTTTATGTTTAAGTATTTTTTCTTCTTTATAAACAAAAATAACTGCTTCAAAATATTTTGTTTAATAGAAAGTTAACGTAAAGCCGATACTGTACAAATCAATAGTTCTTAAATTTGGATCGTTGCATTGTTCATAACAAAAATACGGATGTTATTTTGCAACATATGGCTCTGTTTCAGTGGTAGTGAAATCGAATTTCAAGCCAAACAAAGCATTCCGAGTTGAAATGTATACATAGTTATTAATATTTAGTCCCACTACACGTTTCCTAACCATTGGCTTTTTCAATAAAAAAATAACACATTTTCATACATTTCCCTTTTCCTTAGATTTTACTACCATTCTTCCGTAAGCTCGGTAGGTAGGTAGTATCCGAGAGTGATGTGTATGATTGAGATAAATACAAACGAATGTGCCATCACGTAGTGATGCATAGCACAAACTCGGTGCTTTGCCACCTGGGCAGTACTGTGAGCTACCAGCACCTCCTTCTGGAAAATAATATCAATGAGTAAAGACGACGTCCTATACCCTACTTATCGTAACCACATTTTAGATTCCTCGATAAAGACTAGTCTATCGACAGTCAATTATGCAATCCTCAATTGACCGAAATCTGCAACTAACCATCCGTTTCGTTGTGCATGAACAGGTACATTCGTTGCTGTGAAAGACGAAGCAAAGGTAGGAAAATAAATCAAATGGACACACCGCGGTTCTCGTGCTTATCATTATCGCATACCAACCGGGATGGCCTTTTAACAACTGACCAAGCGATCAAATGAAGGAGGATTCAGTTTCACTTTCGGTACAATTATCGATGATAGATTACGTCGGCAACGGTTAAAATGTATTTCTTTTCCTACACAGTGCATGGTTACTGAAACTGTTGTTTTGGGTTTCCTTATGCCTTCACCGACGCGAAGGTAACTATTTAGTGAATGGATTTTCCATGCCAAGTTTTTTTTAAGGAACCGATTGACCGTTTCCAAAAACATCCTGTCTAAGGTGCATGTATCGATGAAACGACGAGCGGCGGTCGAAACTGTACCGTTTTATGGTCTAATCATCGGCACACGGCAGGCTTTGAGGTCGCTCACAGTGGGAAGTTATTAGCGTAAAATTGCTTTATTTTTTTGTTATTGAACTCAGCGACTTCGACCAAAAGGTTTAAAATTTGTATGGAATTTTGTGACGAATTACTAGTACGGGAGCATATATTAAGTACGTCATGCAAAATTAAGGAAAAATGAACTCCTACTCCTTCCTTTCGTCACGTTACATTGCTTGTTACAGATTTTAAAACTCCCCTCCCGCCTGAGAGCTCGATCCAATGGAAGTTTTTCAAATTTTACTAATATAGCATTGATTAATCTAGAATGTCTATAATCGCTATTACAATTGAATATGTGGTTGCTATGACAATGTTCAATTTTTATCTGTTTTCAAAATGAAGCACCCTAAGTAAAACATGGTTTTTTGACATTTTAGTGATATCAAATGGAAACACTCACTCTTTTGTAGACTGAAATTGAAATATTTATGACTACTTACAGCTGTGTTCGATAAAATGGCAGCGCATGCCGATTTTCATACAAAATGGTCAACTTTGACATGATGTTACTTTGTAAATTTATGATAAATTGAGCTGAAACGTTCGTCAAAGAACTACAAATATGTTCAATTTTACGATTACAAAATATTAAATTTTTGGAAGCACCTGCCGGAAAGTGAGTCACCAGGTAAAATTGTTCAAAATACAACTATATTATTATTAGCTAAAGAATTAATGAACAGCCCAACCATACCACAATCTACGAAATGTGTGAACTGTACCCGAGCA